GGCTGAACCACAGAACCATCAGGTCGAGGTTGAGAATCAGGCTCAACTGGCTGAACCACAGAACCATCAGGTCGAGGTTGAGAATCGGGCTCAAGCGGCTCAACCAGAGAACCATCAAATTGAGGTTGAGAATCGGGCTCAAACGGATCAACCACAGAACCATCAAATTGAGGTTGGGAATCAGTCTGCTCCAATGCATCGAAATCAACCTGAAGGCTTCTCCTCAGAAGTGGAATCATAGCGGCCATGTCGTCATCACCCTGGTTAGGTGGCTGCGCCCCATTCTCGACCAAATCATCCGCAACCATCTCATTCCCCAACTGGTACCTGGAGGTGTAGTGGAGGTATGGGTAAGGAGGGAAGCACTTGTCCAAATTTAATCGAGAAAACTAGAACACATACTAAAAAGACAATAGAGTAATTTTATGTTTGCTGTCGAAACACTGTGAATCAGCATCCTTTGCGGCAGCTGCAGTGTCAACAGGCTGTGCAAAGGCTTGGGACAAACTCGTTCTCACCACAAAGAGAGATGATGATGATGATGATTGTGCTTGTAGTAGACGTCGTGGGGAATCATGAATCCACCGGGTCGAAGGTTTCTTCTCTTCATGATCATGTGCTTTTGGTGGTTTCCACATCCCATGAGCAGACGGCAACTCATAGTCCATCAGCTCATCATCCACCACAATTTGGGTTGATAGTGTCGTCATGGGGACACAGGGTAAAAAGCGAGTAAGTGCTCAGGCAAGGAAACGATGATTCTAATTCGAACCAAACAAAGAGGCACAACCATAAGGTTGAACTTGTTTGGACAAATCGCGACAAACCATGACAAACCGAATAAGTGATCCACGTGGGATTGGCAAATAGATTCACCATTGATCTTTCAGAACGGCGAATGTCAGCAACGCATTTTGTTCACCTTCAATGCTCTGCTATGGGTTTGAGTCGCAAAAGCAACCCATCTACGAATGCGCATGTGGTTCACATGCAATGCCCCAAGACACTAGGTGTTCACACAAGTGTCATCCCACACCCTGCGCTTCAGCAAGGCAGCCAAAATGCGGGAGCAAACATGTCACTTAGACAAGTCTCTTGCAGACATCCTTCTCGAGCTTCAGCTCCCCAGGTAGGAACCAAAGGGGCTTAGCCGCTGCGATGCACTTTTCTGTTGCGTAGCGACGAAGGCGCCACACCTCACGAAAAGAAACACATAGAAAAAACATCACAAACCACTCACACAGGTTGCCAAAGTTTCAATTTCACATCCCTCAATTCAAAACACATTGGGTTGAAAATTGCTTGAACCACTTTCTAGGCGCAAGTTTCAGCGGGCTCTCATCCAGCAGATTGAATGCGAAATGTGACGCTACATTGGCAGCCTTGAGGCTCTTCATCTGAATGGCATTGGGCCTCCACAGGAGCTCATTCTCGGTGTCAGGAGCAATATCGAACTTGTCGTCGGACTGACCCTGCTGTACTGCAGGAGGCCGTTGGCAGGTGTGTCCACCTAAAGTATACTCGATCATTCCTTTCCGTTCCACCTCTTGCGGCGCGGATCTCAAAGTCATCACGGGACCGTCCGAGCCATCCTCCTCCCAAGGTTCATATGGGATCAAAATCAAAGCAAGAAATTGGAGAACAGGGGCCCTGTTTGGCCCGCAACTAGCTGATTATAGTTGATTCGATCTGATGCAACTGAAACCATCATCTCATTTGCATTATCTAGATTCTTTTTGAAGGCTAGGTCCTCAATGCATACCAGCGGCTCATCGTCAGTCCACGAGCACGGGATGCCTTTGTTCGGACTGCTGGCGCTGAACTTGCGAGCCTTGTCCCCAATGAGCCACACCCCTGCACCGTGCATGATCAGAGGGGCCTCCCACGGCTTTAGGATTGTCACCTCCTTGGCTAAGAGGTAGAGGGTAGGTCCTGGCCCCACAAGGAAAGTCGTGTTCTGAATACCAGGCATCTCGGTCAGGTTCTCTGCCCCATGCTTTGCCTGGAGCTTGTCCAGGCTTGTAGGCTCTCCAGGAAAGACCGCGTCCCAATCAAAGCCTTCAGACTTCACCTCCCCCCTCAGCAGTCCCCTCAGCCTTTGCCACATCGTTTGATGGTGCCGGATTGGATGTGACTGGTCCATCGGCTGCCACTCCATTTGTTGACCATTGCTGGTCAAACTTCACAAGCAGCTCTCGCCATTCCGGGGCCCACACCGGGTCCTGCAAGAACATCTGCCTTACATCCCGTGGCAGCAGCAGCTTTTGGTTGTCAATCTGACACACCCGGAGGGTTGGCTTCTCAACCTTCTTGGGAAGATCTTCCTGCGCCACATCTTTCTTGTAGCGAGGTGTTTGGCGATCCATGGGGGGCAGCCGATGTCTTCCAAGCCTTCCAGGATTTGTTTGGTTTATGGAAGGTTAACTTTTCACAACACGTACCAATATGTACAAACATGTGTTTTCACAGATGAACAGTTGAATCAATCAGTTCAAATGACCCCAATATACCCCACTCCTTGAGGAGGTGTGTCTTGACCACATCCTGTGCACACTTGTGATGAGCTTCCACAGACGACGACCCTGCGACAGCAAAGCCCAGCTGAAGCCCAGCCAGTTCCACTGCGCCATCATAGCATGTAGGGTGCACCACCACCACACCATCGCCACTCTTCATCTCACCTTGTGTGTTGCAATTTTGCACTGTTCCGAAAAGCTGTTGAGACAATGTGATTTGTGTATTTTTTGTGTAATGTCTTTGCTGGCAGTTGGTAATACACACTAAGCCAAGGGAATGGAACCACCAACAAAATTGGTAATAAAACACATCAATTGAATTAATCCAAGGAACCACACAGGTTTGAAAGAATCGCCTTTGGCACTGCAGGCCCGCCAAGCCACTGTGATGTTTCCTGGAAATCTGTGTAGTTGCGCCTCGAGTCGTTGCAGTGTAGGGTGTCTCCAGGCACAATGAAATCACCTTCCTGCAATGCAGCCGGAAATGTGCCACTCGCCAGCGCCTGTCGCAACCAAAGGTGGCTGCTGCAGAACCTTTTCTGGGAAAAAAACAAATGAAAGCCCAGATGAACCCCAATCTAAATAGAACCAGTCAGAGTTTTGCCACACAAAGCCTCAACTAAAAAACATGAACTGAATACAGTAAGACTAAATAGAAAATATCTGTAGAAATACCCAGACACACATTGATGTCCTTCTTGTCAACCTCGGGATTGCCCCTGACACTTCTATGGGCCGTCCCTTTTGTAGGGAGAGATGAATCCGGCACGCCCAAGAAGCAAACGAAAGCTGAAGGCAGCTCCCTGTTTTTATGCAGGTCATCCTGGTTCAGGTTCAGGGTCCACGGCCTGAGCTCTACCTTCACCGCAAGCAGCTTGTCCTCCAACTTCCTTCAATCAGAATACCCCTAGGGAACATTGGGAACATATTGGGAACCGTTGGGAACATTAGGGGAACATTGGGAACAATCCTAACTTCCAAAACACTCAAACGCAGCACAAACTTCCAAACCACTCCTCCAATCCTTCCTCAAAGACCCTGCTGCGTCTGATCCAACCAACAGAGGCGGTATGAGAACCAGGATCGAACCTTGGTTGGCGCCAAAACCTCAAAACAAAAGTTGGGAACACACACACACCATCATCAGCACCATCATCATCATAATCATCTTATTCTTAACCATCATCATCATTGTCATCATCCTCATCATCATCAAACACACGATCACCCCATATTCAGTGTTTACGTTTTTGTTTTCATTTCTCCTCTTTACACTCTGCTTTACAAAAAATCAGATATATTCAGATTGTATTCATAAAACTAGTATATATGTTTTTGAGATGTAAACAACATTAAACAACATATAAAAAAGCTGGGCCACGGGAAGGGTTGCGAAAGAGCACCGACTCCGCGAGGTCACCGATCATGTTGATCTCTATTTGGCTCACTACCCCGAGCTTTGTGCAGTCGATGTAAAGCACAGTTCGCAGTTGGCCCACTTCAACCTCCAAGGTGGATAGATGGTGGATAGCAAGATTGATAGATTTACATGGTGACAGAGGAATCGGAATTTGAATCGGACATTCCATGTTTTAGACAAACCCACGCACCTTTCGCTGCAATGCAGCACTGCGGTAGATATGCTCCAGCTTGGAATCCAAAGGCGCACTCTGGGTGGTGAAGGAAACCCGACAATACTTTTCCATGTGGGCTTCACACAGCCTCAGCGTTTGAAATAGTTGAGGGAACATGAGTATTGTTCACCGGGTTCCTTCCCACACATGGGTTGCTTTTGTTTTGGTGTGCTTTCCTTCCCACACCCGAAATCCACAAACACGTTTAATTTGATATGTCAAGGGACGATTTGCCGATCTGTGCTTGGGCCTTTTCATGCATGACCATGACGACATGGGCCCTCCTTTCAGTTTCTGCTAGCTGGACGTTGTGGATGGCCATGTCAGTCATGTCCTGCACGATCTTTGCCTTCACTTCACGAAATTTTGCCGCAGCTGCAGGGTCTTCCATTTCCATCAGCTCTGCGGTGGTGCAAGGCTTCACCGGGGTGGCTGGGGGGCTCGATGAGGTCCACCCACAAGCCCAGATGGGTGAGTTTCCATGAAGAGAGCTTAGAAGCAACCACTGCTTCCACATCAGACATGTAGTCCCTCAGATTGACAGGGACCCACAGGGCACATGTTGGGGGGACGATAGAATCCCAAAGTTTTTACTACTGGCTGGTTTTTAGAAATGTGTGATTTCTTTGGCAAAGAAAAAATGAAAAATTGATGATGACGTCAAGAAACTTCTGGAAAAAGGCCTTCATGACCAGGGCCTCTTTTTCCGGAGTCCAGGTGGACAGCAATCGGGCATCTGCCAAGGCGGTGGCGTACATGCACGCAAAGTCAGCGTAGTTCTCGAACTGAGTTGAAGAAAGGCGCATTCGCGGGCGAGCTGCAGGGCGCAAACGCCTTCCTGCCTCCACGTAGGAGTGGACCACCAGCTGCAAATGCATCTTTTGGGACTCATTGCTCACGGTCAAGCATCTCTTCAATTCAGGCGGACACCCTTGAGCTTTGGGGCTGGCGCCCAAAAGCCATCTTTGCCCCCCGGAGTTGTTCTGTTGAGAAAGCGCATTCTCTCCATTTGCTGTGGTCCAAGTGGCACCGCGTCACAGCCCGGCTCTCCTTGGTTCATTTAGTGCTGGGCAGTTGAAGGCTCACAGAATTGCCATGCATAGAAGGTTAAAAGCCAACAAGAGCATGCAAACCACATCGAGAACATGCAAAAATATGCAAAATCAGCTGGGGTACGGAGCATGTCCCGGCCACAATGTTGTAGACCGACTTGATCTTCTCGTCGTCCAAGCGGTGCTTCGCCTGAAGTCCTGGAGACATGTGAAAGCTGTAGATCACATCCCTGAGCCGATCCTCGGTGCTCATTCCACTGTGGTGTTCGCCGTTGTTGGCACGCTCCTCCATCGCCACCGAAAATCGCAATGCGAGCTGCAATGTGTTTGGAGGCTGACGTTCGCTTCCACGGTACGATAATGTCAGGTTCCTGAACGAACGCGCTGCTGCGTCCATTCCCATGGTAACCTTGGCTTGGCTCAATGGCACATAGTCTTCAACTATCTTCAACTGTTAAAAAAAGACACAGCTGGGTGGTTCCACATGGTTTCCAAGAGAATGCACGCGCAGCCAAAGGACATGGCAAGGAAGAAGCCATGCTTTGTCCAGAACTTTGAACAGCGGCTTCAGGATCTCCTGGTTCTTTGGCTCTGACAAATCAAGTTCACTGGCGGCGAGCAAGAAGGTTGCCACCACGGTAGATCGTGTCCAGCCTTTCACTTGATCCACACTTTGCACTCCACATTTCCAGGATCCTGCAAGGACTTGGAAACCGGTTTTTGACAAATTGTGTTTTTTGTTGATTATAAACGATATAAACGTTACTTGCTAAAAATAGGATTGGTGACCTTTTGTGTCAAACGTTTTTTCAAAAACCCCAGACCTGTCTCTGGCTGCATTGATACATCCAGAGGCTCACGTTGCAAGTCAACACCTCCAAATAACATGGATTCGAAACATCCCACCCAGTCGTCTGTGCACGGCAGGCCGTCATCCGGCGCAGTAAACCTCATTTGAACACACAGCTGAAGGCTTTATCGACGAACTCTTTAAAGGCAAACCAAATAATAACTAGTTGGTAACCCTGGGACCCTGGACAGTTTCGCAAGGGTCATTGAATCCAAGAATCCGAAGACAAGTGATGGGAATCTTGATGGTCTCACCATCCATGCCACAGTCCATGTCCTTGATGTTGGTTTCAATCTGATCAACAAACTACACTATCCTAAACACTCCTAAACTATGTTTGGACGATGGGATAGTTTCCCTATTCCTGGGGGAGGGGGCTTGAAACAGAAATGGAAATTGTCTTTGCCTTTGCCCCATTCAATTGAGATTCCTGTCCAGAGGGCTTGAAAAGCGAAGGCAGACCACGGAGTGCAGCGTAGTCACTGTACCATGTCTCAAGCTGCTGGCAATGCAACTTTGCTTGGGATGCATCCTTCCCTCCCAACAAATCCAAGACCAAACCTGCAGGATGGGCGCCATTCTCAGTAGACTCTTGATCTCTGAAGGATACTCCGAACTGGTATAGCTCCTTCCCAGGGTTTCAGAAAAACACTTGATACGGATATGGTTATGATATGATTATATTTTATCTATTTTTGCTTGGGGCGATCCAACATCTAGTGAAAAATATATGAGGCATCCGGTGAATTCATAGGGGGTCCTTGACCAAGCTCGTATCACCATCCATCTTGGCGAGTTGCTTGTCATATGCTGAGCATCCTCGCTTGGCTGGAGGTGACTCGGTGCTTCCATCATCCTTGGCCTTCACGAGCGTGGCACGCTCCTCAGCCTTTGACTTGAACGGGGTGATTGCTGTTGCCATGACAGCAAGTGTTTGCCCCCCCTGATGCACTATTTGATCCTGGAAATTTAGCAAATAATCGATTGAAAATGATGTCACTTCCTCAAGATGAAATCAACTGACTCTCCAGCGTTTGATCGATTGAAAACCCTATGTTTTCAGACCTAGGGATTGAAACTCTTTTTTGGTTTTCCACTTGAATATCAATCCTCGACCTTCAAAATCAAGGTTTTCAACTGACTCCCCCACGTAGAGACGATTGATTTTAGATACAGATTCTGGAAAAAAATCAACTGACTATTTGCTAATTTTGTTCGCTTTTGGGATTTTGAAAATCAATCGACTCTACGCCGTATGATCAGTTGAAACTGCCTCCTGCCTCAACCATGGTCCATCGAAATCCACCGCCGGACAGTAGCCCGTACATCGACTTTGGGTGTGGGGAAACCTGTCGTCCATCGAAAACTTGAATCGAGCCCCCCCCAGTCCATCGAAAATCCGATCCGCCCCCCCCCCCAGTCCATCGAAAATCCGATCCGGCCGACCCCCACTCCATCGATTTCTGAAAAGCGAGGGCGTGAGTCCATCGAACATGTTGTGACACTGGCTGTCCATTGGATTGTCTAATTGAGGATTCTTCCCTGGAGGTGAAGCAATTACTTATTGTTTAATGGGCTGCTAGCAGCCTGATTTATCCAACAGAAATGCAATGTTTCTCAACCCCCACGGGAAAAGACTGCCCGAAGTGGGACTGCCGGCGCCAAGGCGTTCAAGACAGCCTGCTGCATCAAGTACCGTGGCTCAGCCACGGGTCTGGGGGCATCATTTTCCTGGTGCCAAGGAAGGGGGAGGAGGTCAGAATCCCTCCAAAAGACGTTGTCGGAAAGTCCATCCAAGTAGTCTATAGCCCTCTGGTAGGTGCGCCCATAGAATTGTTTGACATCTCGAGAGAGCTTTCGCCAACTCTCTGCCATCCTCTCGGTATGGTCGTTGACTCGCCTTGGTATCAATCTAAAGACACTGATGTGAGATAAGGGTACAGTTCGGTTGAGCTGCCAACCAACGAGTCACCACATGAAAAACGTTGCAGTAAACTGACAAAGATATAGGTTTGGCCATAGGACCCTTTGCCGTATGGTTTGCCAAGTTGCTTGGTATCAGGAACCATTACAAATCCAGACGCACGATGGTTGGTTAGCACGAGCAGTGGATCCTGTGATAGCTCTGGGTCACAGATGTGACGCTTGATGAAGCATATGACGTCGTGATCGGATGGGGGTCCTCTCCAAGATCCATGGTCTATGCACCGCTGCAATGATGGTGGGACATCTGCAGGGCACGTACATACAACCACGCAAAAGTCTGACTCTGATTTGTTTTCCTAGGTGTCCTTGAAGTTTAGAAACGTGCTCTGTTAAAACAATCACGTGTAGAAAAAACACTGCGCAACTGCAACTCCACATGGTTTAAAAGAATGTGTTTTGTTTTGGCATTGTAGCTCCTCGGCGTTGCATGCTCAAGAACATATGATTCCCTGTATCATCTCAGAGCAGCCCGCCCTCCAGCTTCACGCCAAGGCTCGGAAGGTGCTGCCTCCAGTCCCGCGTGCAGTTGAGCTTTGAGACCAGGACTTTGGTCTGTGGCCCCAGCCAGTCCTTGATGCTGGACTTTGTCAATTCATCCTTGACCGCTGCTATCACATCGGTATCATTCTGAAGGGAATCTTCATTGCTCACACGTCTGGAGATGATGCCCCAGCATTGGTCTTAGTTTGGTGTCACAGGGCTGAACAAAACAGGTTTGCTTTCCAGGTTTGCATTTGGGTGACAAACCAAAACAACAAGTTTCACGAAAATTGGTGCTAAAGTCGGCTAAAGTCAAATCAGTTCACCTATGCGACAGTGGGTGTGGGACTTCCGTAAGTGTGCCAAACAGCACAGCTTTAATCGATGCTTGGCCACCAAAAGATGTAAATACGTCAGGCAAAATTGATTCTTGGCCTCGCGGACTGTGTTGTCCGCCTCTGTTCAAGGTGGTAAAGGTACACCAACAATAATGGGCCTGGTTTCCACACCAAAACAGAAAGCAAAAAAAGACTCTCGAATTCAGGTTGGAGCCACATTGATCAGCACACAAGACCGACGGGGACGATGCTGCTCATCACAGATCCGGATCACCTAACACTAAAGAGATAAAGAAAACCAACAATAACACTATAGAATACTATAGAGATAAAGTAATGGGACAAATCATTAAACATAGTGAAGAGAGTAGTGAAGAGGCTGAGAGGATTGGACCCGTTTTTTGGCCCTTTGAATACCACCCACGATCACCCAAAACACATATTCTCATCATAGCAAGTCACATCTTCCAGTGTTGCCGACAACATCTCTATTATGGCTGACGAGTCATGGGCGGCGTTCTCGTCTAATATATACACATTGAGGCAGAACCCGAATGCCCAGGCCCCGTGCACCTTGATGCGTGGACGCTGGTGTTTGCTCCTCAGCTGGACACGGCGAGTTTGGTATGGGAATATCTGTTTGGAAAGCAAAGTGCTACACACAGCATTCGAGGGGCAACTAACAAATGTGAGTGTTCCTTTGAATCCAAATGTCAGTGCCGCAGAACACCGGAGTTGAGCGTCCCGTGGGAGGGCGAATTTGGACTGATCTAGTCCGTCTGTTGATATAATCAAAAAAGTCAGTATGTGG